CACCATCTGGAGAATGGGCTAGAAGGACACAGTTAGCTACCGAGGCTGGGAACAGACTACAGCCTCTCCTTTACTGTCTCCAGTACATTTCTGGGTCAGTCTCTTTACCTCCAGCAGGCATGCACTTGTGGAATGCCAACTCATTCAGCTATCATGCTAAACACAGCACAGCAGGAAGGTATGTCTGTGCATCTCACGTCACATAAATGCTTTTGGATTATGCACACAATTAACTCCATAAGCCATCAGCATAAATAATGAGGCGAAACAGGCAGAGTGGGGAACAACCCAGGGGCACAGAGTTCACCCTATGCTGATCCTGCTGGAGATGACAATTCAGCAGCTGGCTTTAGTGAGAGGAACGTCTGTGTCCAGAAGCCTCCACCTCCCTATGTGCCCTTCTTAAGAGGTGTTACCTGGGAGGCCTGGGCTAGGTGTACAGGCTTCCCTGGGTGCTGTGGCGGCTCAGCAATGGTTGGCCACCCCCCGCCATCATGTGTTGCTTGCCACCCAGAAAGCACGATGAGCCGAAGCATACTCACAGGACCCAGGAGGCCAGAGCATGACTAACACTCCAGAGGGGAAAAGGGAAAAAAGAGGTCACAACCGCCACTAAATGTACCCTGTGTTTATCCCTCCTTTTCACACCTCGGTGTTTCTGCTGCTTCTTGAGTCTCACTGTTCTCTGTGAGGTAGGGCAAGCCTGCAGAAGAACACATTTATCCAGAGGCCTCACTAAAGCAGGAATATTTACCAAAGATTAAGTAAGGGAGGTCCGGGGTCTGCATTAAGCAAAGGAAATGTATAGACAGGACGGGTGGGGGTAGACCATAGGAATGGAACTGAGTAGACTTAAGAATGGACCTGGGCCAGGCACGGCAGCTCACGCCTGAAATCCCAGCACTTTGGGAGGCAGAGGCAGGAGGATCGCTTGAGCCCATAAGTTAAAGACCAGCCTGGGCAACATAGTGAGACTCATCTCTACAAAAAATCAAAACAGCCAGGTGCAGTGGTATGTGCCTATAGTCTCAGCTACTCGGGAAGGATTTCCTGAGTCCAGGAGGTCGAGACTATAGTAAGCTTCTGTGACAGTACTACCGCATTCCAGCCCAGGCAACGGAGTGAGGCCCCAACTCAAAAATAAAAAATAAAAAAGAAAGGCCGGGCATGGTGGTTCATGCCTGTAATCCAAGCACTTTAGGGAGGCAGAGGCAAGAGGAATGCCTGAGTCCAGGGGTTTGAGGTCAGCCTGGGCAATTTGGCGAGACCTCATCTTTACAAAAAAAAAAAAAAATCAAAAAAATTAGCTGGGTGTGGTGGGGTACGCCTATAGTTCCAGTTACTAGGAAGGCTGAGGCCAAAGGACCATCTGAGCCTAGCAGGTCAAGGCTGCGGTAGCTGTGATCATGCCACTGCACTCTAGCCTGAGTGACAGGGAGAATCCAACTCAAAAAAAAAAAAAAAAAAGAAAACGAAAAAGAATCTGTCCCTTACACCATACCCAAAACGAACTATATATACTGTAGCACTATGCACAAGAGCCAAGATGTGAAAACAACTTAAAAGTATCAGCAGATGGGTTAAAAAAATGCAGCACACAAATACAATGGAATACTATTCAACCCTTAAAAGGAAGGAAATGCTGCAATCTGTAACAACACAGATGAACCTTCAGGTCATTATGTTAAGTGAGATAAGCCAGTCATAGAAACACAGATACTGCAAGGTTTCCCTTATCTGAGTATTAAAATAGTCAAATTCATAGAAACAAAGAGTGCAATAGTGGTTTCCAGGCCTGAAGGAACGGGGAGACAGGGACCAGCCATCCACAGACATGAGACTTCAGTTCAGCAGGGTGAATCTGCTCCAGAGGTATACTGTGCAGCCCGCACCATGAGCAGCAACAATGTGTTGTACACTTAAAAATGTATCAAGAGGGTCAATCTCTAAGGGTACCTGTATAATGAACATTTGTATACCTAACCCTGAATTATACCCTACATCTTTAAAATCAAAAATTAAAAAAAAAAAAGAGGATCGATTTCATGTCAAGTGTTCTGATCACATTTATTTATTTACTTACATATTTATTTGAATCAGGGTCTCACTCTCACCCAGGCTGGAGTGCAGAACACAATCCTGGCTTATCACAGTTTGACCTCCTGGGCTCAGGCAGTCCTTCTGCCTCAGCCTCCTGAGTAGTTGGGGTTACAGGTGGACGCCACCATGCCCAGCTCATTTATATATTTTTTGTAGCGAGGAGGTCTCACTATGTTGCCCAGGCTGGTCTTGTCCTCCGAGGCTCAAGCGATTCTCCCACCATGGCCTCTCAAAGTACTGGGATTACAGGCGTGAGCCACTGTGGCTGGCCAATTTTTTTTTAAAAGAGCTAAAACTATAAAACTCTCAGGGAAAAAAACCATAAAAGTAACTCTTTATGACTGTGGATTAGGCAAAGCCATCCTAGATATGACTCTAAAAGCACAAGCTACAAAAGAAAAATAGGTTAATTGGGCTTTATTAAAAACTTGAGCTTCAAAAGATACCATAAGAAAAATGAAAAAGACAGCCCAATGAGCGGGATAAAATAATTTGCAAACCATACATCTAATAAGAAACTTGTAACTAGAATATTAAAAGAACTCTTACAACTCAATAATAAAAAGACAGATAACCCAATTTAAAAAGCAACAAAAAATTTTTTAATGTGCAAAAGCTTTAATAGACAGTCTCCAAAGAAAACATACAAATGGCCAATAAGCACATGAAAAGATGCTCAACATCATTAGCTATTAGAAAAAAAGCAAATCAAAATCACAGTGAGATACTGTTTCACACACACTCAAATAGCTATAATAAAAAAGACAGACAATAGTAAGTGTTGACAAGGATGTAAAGGACTTGGATCCCTTATACCCTGGTGGTAGAAATGTAAAATGGTACAGCCGCTTTGGAGAACAGTCTGGCAGTATCTCAAATGGTTAAATATAGAGTTACCATCAACTGCTCCTACGCCTCTGATCCCTGTGGTGAGGCTTCAGATGAACCTGGTTTCTAACAGGACCCACAAGTACCAAGCCAACTCTGCCTTCCCTGGTCTCCATGCTCCTCCCCAAGGCCACCTCTTCCCTAACTCCAGACCCTCTGAACTGTATTTCAGCCACTAAAACACTGTTTTCTCTCTTTGCTAATTCTCCCCTGACAATGTAAAGTCTTCTGATTTTTCTCTTTGTTTCCTACATGTTTTTCCTCCCCAAAACCATGGGCTCTTGTCCACGGGAGCAGCTCCTGTGACAACACCAAGTTCAAAGTCCTCTCTCTTTCTGCCCAGAAATAAACCTACTGCCTCATGAGAGGGTTCTGGCTACTGCTGTAGATAAAGACCCAGGCATCCTTCAGATCTGATGCACTATTGGCCATAGAGTGGACGTCTACATGCCTAAATGGATGAGAAACTAAAAAAACCAAGGAAAAGGCGGTATCAGGAACCTCAGATGGCAGCAAGTTTCCACAGCAGCCTTCCGAAGAAGGGGAACCCCCAAGAAGGGTCAGCAAGTCAGCAGGAGCGACATGGTCTCATCCCCCAGACAATGGCAAGATTTACACTCTTCTGGGCAGATGTGTCCATTTCCCAGATGTGGACACTGAAGTCCTAGGCCTTCCTGCAGGCCAGGATGAGGTGATAAAGCTCAGCCTGTTCTAGGCCGTAGCAGGAAATTCTGAGATCACGCCGAGACAGGATCTCGCCAGGTAAGGTCTTTCCCGACAGCCCCTCAAACGATCCCGCACCTTCAAGTCAGCAAAGAAAAAAGGTGACCACCTTGTCCAAGAGTGCAGGACTCAGAGAGCCACCAAGAGGCCTCCATCAGATGCCCACATCCTAAAGACTCAGAGCACCAAGCACCACACAGGCTCCCAGGACTGGCACGCGCTGGAGCACAACCCAGAGCATACATCCGGGTTCTCTAACAAAACTGGAATACCCTTCTATCCTGAGACTTGCCTGGGAGAGAGGAAAAGACCCTAGAGGCAGAGAAAACAAGACTCTGGCCCCACCACTAGCTGACAGCCCCCAAAGCTAGACAATGAGTCACCTCTCTTGCTGTGACCACAGCAAGCCAATCCTGCACCCCAGGTCCTGCTTCTTCATGTGTAAAGTAAGGGGCCCAAGGTTCCTCCCGCTGGCTGGAACACTCCTGATTCTCAGGTCTCTACAGGTCTCAACACAGATGGGATGCTTTTTAGTGAGAAGCAGGATGCAGAACAAAATCAAAGCCCGACTTCCAGAAAGGGACACAAGGCTCATATTTTGATGACCCAGTTTTCCTAGAAATGTTGTCAGATGACCCCTGAGGCAGCAGGAAGCAGAAGAAACAATCTCGGCTGAGCGCATGGCCTGAAGCAGTTCCTAGAGGTCTGGCCATCACACCAGTGGTCCTCCCTGCACTGGCAGGACCCTCATGGACCCCGGTGATGGCACTAAAAACTGTAACCTGCCCAAAACCAAGAGAGCCCTCACCACACACATGTGCTTCTCTACATGAGATGTGAAGATCTCAGAGCCTGGCTCAGGCCACCCAAAGGCCCCTGCAGCTCCCACCAAAGCAAAGCCAAGTCTTGCTGGCCCTCTTTGACGTCATGGGGTTTTGTGGGCAATTTTAAGCACTCAGAAGTCAGGAAACCTAAAGAACTGAAATCCAACGGGCAACATGAGCTGGATCCTCCTCACTCCAAACTTCTAGTTGGGGAGGTGGGTGTTCCAGTCCTGTAACTTCCTCTACTCATTCCTAGAGTAGGCACCACAAAGAAATGGTCAGAAGGTCAGGAGCAAGTGGTTGGAAGAGGAAGACCCGGAGCCAACAGCACATAAAGTTATCTCCAGCTCAGACACTGGGTCAGGATCCAACTTCCTGGCAGAGGCTGCTGAACAAGCTCAAAGCACCTCAAGAACCCGAGGACCTCCCCCCATCTAGGACAATGACCACCATGCATCATCACACCTCTGAGGACCACACAATGGACGAGAAGTCAACATCTACGGAAATGAACACCACCGGAACACAGAGGACGCAGCCACACTACTTCTACGATGAACAGTGCCTCCGTACACTCAGGCCTCCCGTGCTCCCTAACCCACGGAGATCCTGGCCAAGCGTCTGTGGTTCGAGGAAGCCTGCGTTTCTCCAGCAGAGAAGAAAAAAGGAAACCCAGGGAGGATTTCCATAGTCGGGGGAAGGAGGCCCGCAGGATGGGAGGCTTTGAGCGGCCACCCAACCAAGCGACCGGGAGAGAATCCCCAGGCAGGCCAATGCCCCCTGGACTGTCCGCGGGGCAGGGGCTGGCAGCCGGCGATCGGGAACGGGGGGAAGGGGGCACACGCAGCCAGCAGGGTAGGTGGGAACGGAGGGAGGAGCGGAGGAGCGGAGGAGCGCGGCCGCCCCGCACCCGGGCCTTGCCGCCGCGCGCCGGGCGGCCGCCGCGGGCACAG